AATGAGAGAATGAGGGAAAAACAAAGAATATGACCGTGGGATGCGTGAAAGAGAGCTAAATTTTGATCTAAAACTAAAAACTCAAAAAAGAATAATATTCACATACAGTTTAGAAATCTGAAATTAAGCCAGGCTCGGTGGCTCAGCCTGTAATCCCACGCCTTTGGGAGGCTAAGGTGAGTGGATTGCCTGAGCCTACGGGTTCGAGACCCACCTGGGCAGTGAGACCTCATCTCTACAATAAATCAAAAAATCAGCCGGGCGTGGTAGTGCATGCCTGTAATTCCGGCTACTTGGAAGGCTAAGGCAGAAGGATCGCCGGAGCCCAGCAGGTCGAGGCTGAGGTGGCCGGAAGCGGCCACTGCACTCCAGTCTGGGCGACAGAGTAAGACTCCAACTCAAAAAAAAAAAAAAAAAAAAAGAAATCTGAAATTAAATGCCAGAAAAAAATAGTTAAAATAATTTAAAGTAGCTGCCTCTGGGGAATAGGAAACAGGAATGGGGAAGAGTGGGGCAGCCGGCTGTTTTTCTTTAAAAGTTTTGAAGTACTATTTGATTTCTTTTTTTTTCTGAGTGAGTAAGTAGGAATTTATTAAGCGATAGGAAAGCCCCCAGCAGTGGGAGGGGTCCTGAAAGAGGGCATAGTCTTCTGATAAAAACTAAAAAGGAAAATATTTTCACTAAGGCAACAAGTCTACACTGTTTTACAGGATTTTTCTACCAGTCTTTAAGAACCACATAATACCTATGTTATATAAACTATTTCATAGGATAGAAAAACATGGGAAGCCCTCCAATGCATTCTGAGTCTACCACAACCTTGATACCAAGAGTTGACAAGCAGCACAAAAAACATGTAGGCTAATATCATTTATGAACACAGATACAAACATCCTAAAAATAATATTAGCAAATTGAATCTAGCAATGTGTTCAAAGAATGACAGATTATAGCCAAACGGGGTTTATCCTCCAAACAGTTCAGCAACAGTAAATCTATTGATGTAAATCCTACATTAACAGATTAAGAAAGAACTTGAAAAAATTCAACACCTATTTATGATAAAACTTTTAGTATCTAAAAACTTATGGCAACTCCTTAAACTGCTACATACTATAAACCTATATTCTGAAGGGCTGTTAGTATTCAACACTGTACTGGTCTAGCTAATGCTATGAAAATTAAAAAGTAAAATAAGAGGAACAAATGTTGAAAAGGTGTATTACTATTTGCAGATATAGTTACTTAACCTAAAAATTCCAAGTGAATTGCCATTAAAAATGATGAAATAATACAAAAGTACAGTTATGTAGTAAAGTGTAATATGACAAAAAAAAATTCCTACCTTTTATTTATGCCACCAATCATCAATTAGAGAAAGTAATTGGGGGGGGAAAGGCTGATTCACAATAACCACAAAAACCTTACCACAAGTAAGAATAAATCTAACAGGAAATGTCTAAGACCTATATAAAGAAAACTATAAAACTTTTACTTAAGGACATAAAAGAAGCCCTAAATAGATGGGAAGACATACCTTTTACTTGGATAAGGAAATTTAATATTGTAAAAACGTCAGGTCTCCCCAAATGAATCTATAAATCCAACACAATCCCAATCAAAAACTCAACAACATTTTTTATGGAACTTGACAAGCCAATTCTAAAGTTCACATTGGGGAAATGTATGTAAAATAGCCAAGACATTCTTGAAAAAGAACAATGGCTGTCCCAACAGACAGGGAAGCCACTTTTATACTGGAGACTGCCCTGCTTTTCAGTGCTCCTTCCCCCTACTTCTGGTAAATCTCAGTGGAGAAACCATTCCTAAGGATGAAGTAGGGTTGACTCCAATTTCACAACAGAGTTGGGCATGTGATAGGCCTGGCCAATTAGAGGTGCTCTATACCCTTTGGTTAATGGAACATGCCTGTCTGTGATCAAAATTAGGTTGACCTGAGCCCAACCCAGAAAATTCTGCTGAAACTCTCCAGAAAGATGATCTCTTTTCTGGACTTATTAAGCTATCAGGATATGCCTAAGGCTGTGATTGGCTATAATGCCCACTAGATGAAGAGAATGTGACTGACAAATGAAGAAATATAGAGTCTGATGACATCCTCTGAGCCCCTGGATCCAACCCAGCCTGAAAATAGAACAGTCTTTGGACATCCTAGTTTCATAGCTGTAAAATTCATACTTTGAGCTAGGTTTCTGTTACTTGACACAGAAAGAATTCTAAAATGATACTATAAAGTCATGGTAATTAACTCTTTGGTTTTGACACAGATATAGAGTCTAGAAACAAATTTATCGTTAAGCAGGAATTTAATTTTTTTTTTTTTGAGTCAGAGTCTTACTCTGTCGCCCAGGCTGGAGTGAAGTGGCATACTCACCACTACCAAAGCCTTGACCTGCTGCGCTCAGGCACCTCAGCACGCCCAGCTAGTTTTTTGATTTATTGTAGAGACGAGGTCTTGCCAAGTTGCCCAGGTTTGTCTTGAACCCCTGGACTCAAGTATTCCTCTTGCCTCTATTGCCCAAAGTGCTGGGATTATAGGCATGAACCACTGTGCCTGGCTGGGAATTTAATTTTTAATAAGTGTGGCATTTGGAAACACTGAGGAAAGGATGGATTGTTCATTAAATGCTGTGGAAAATTGTCTATCTGGAGAAAAGCTAGAATACTCCCTCACATCATACACAAAATTAATTGCAGAAGTATATGTGTATCATAATATCACACTGAATACCTTAAATACATATAACTTTTATTTGTCAATATACCTCAATAAAGTTGGAAAAACTGCAGATGGATTAGAGAGATAAAGGTAAAACTACAAAAAAAAGCAGAAAATAAAGAGAATTTTTATAAAACTGTGGTAAAGTAAACCATCCTAGCCGGGCTCGGTGGCTCAGCCTGTAATCCCGTGCCTTTGGGAGGCCGAGGTGAGTGG